TGAATGCATTTGCTAGTACGCTCTGCTGCCTCCCTCCAGTGGCTGAAAATGTTACTGCAAACAATTCTAAATAATGTTCTAACTATAACAGATGAACTGCCTGATAACATCTAAGAGCAACAGCATGATTGGCATCTAACACTCTGGTGTACACCTAACAAACACGACGCAATCATCACCAAAACCTTCGCAAACCTTTGCTGGCAAAATTAAAGATCACAGGTTTGATAGCCACCATAGGCCACGTGCCCTTTTGAAGTGTAACTGTATTCCTAACCTCCTCACTCACTATGAAGTCACTATTGAATACACTGCAGAGTTTGCTTAGGGTGTTGATAACAGCTTGTAGGCTTGTTTTTGATCCAGTAGAAGGCAGTGCAGCACATAAAATGACCTCTCTTTCTCAGTGAGGAACACTGTAAAATTGTTAAGGGCAACACAGTATTTCCATTCATGTTCTTGTTGGTTATGATCTTGCTTGCTTGGCTTACCTGGTGACAGAAACCCAAAGCGTTGCAGCGTGGCTTTGTTGCAGAAACACAGAGCGTGATAAAAAGAATTGCACTGATGCATTTATGTGTATCACTGACACAATGTAGGACGTGACTGACCCGTGGTGGAGGTACAGATGTCAACAACTGCTGCCTTCACCTCTCCTCCCCTCCTCTCTCTCTCTCTGTCTCTCTCTCTCTCTGTGTACGGGGCAAATTCCCAATCCCGAGCCAATCTCACCGAGCTCCAGCACAAATTGGATTCTGGAAGTTTCCATGCCCCGCAGCTGGATGAACAGGATTAAATGTGGAAATCTAAAGCTTTGGATATTTTTAATGCTCCCAACTGTCTTACCAAAGCATAAACTACCGTGTGGATTAATGCAATACATCAGCCTGCCTCAAAATGACTTTGGCTGGTCCAAAACACAGAATGAGAGTTGAATAACCTCAGCTACTCCTGGGTGGCACTCGGGGTAATGTTTCACTAGTGGACGAGGCACTCAATACTCCATGTTGATAAGATTTCACACATCAATAGCAGCAGCGGCACGCTTGAAGATGAGGTTTAAAGTGTTCAAACTGTAGATAGCACATGTGAACTTTACCACATCAACACCATTCAGTATAGTATTATGTAAGCTATCAGTGTAGCATTTGTGGCCAATTATTTCCCACTTGGCATCTAAATCGTCAACAGTACTGACTTTAAAGTGCAGTGTTACAAGTAGCCTTGCAACTACTGATTATTCTCATTATCAAAAATCTGATGATTACTTCCTCATGAGATTTTATAAAATATACAATTTCCCAGAAACCAAGGAAGCTGTTTTCAAATGCCTTGTTTTATCTGGTTTGTTGGTTTCTCCCAAATTTACTTTAATTTGTCAAGCACAGGAAAGCAAAAAACTGTCTCTATATGGACCACAATTGACATTCCAACTATATAAAGCAAAACATTTTTTTTTCCCTTTATACGATCCTATCTGGTCCAATCTAGCAGTGCACAGTCAATAGCCATCCACTGGCCGGGTGTCAGCGCAGCTCTCTGGCCTCAACAAGCTCTGGTTTGGCTGTTGTCCCTGGCTGCACAGCTGGGCCCAGTTGTGTCGGCCAGCTCCCCGCTCCCCCGTTGTTTTGGGTTAGATAATGTTATTCTTCAGAGGGCTGGGCCCGCTGCCTGCTCACTGCATTAACCCTGAGGTAATACCTCTCCATCCAACTCACTGTTCTTTACCATTTGTGTCACTCTCACATTTACAAACACCACACCCACATACAGATTCACAAGTATACAAAAACATGCAAACACCTACACAGATGTGTTGCTTGTTCTTCCCTCTGATAATGGGGACGTTTTTTTCTTCAACTTTCCCAACATTTCAAACAGGGAGGAGGACTGTGCATGTGTTTAGATGGCTATCTCTGTCAGCTCTCTTCCAGCAGAGAAATATGAAAATGGGAGGCACATAATCCTGGCATAGTGTATTCCCCCATAGTGTGGGAAGGTCAAAGCACAAGTACACTTCACATAAATACATAAACTTTAACTTCCTTCAAGAGCACAGCATGGTTTATTCTCAAACTTCTGCTCAAAGAAAATGGATTGCTTAAAGACAGCAGATGAAACCGTCAGGAAAATAAATACGGTAATTTGGTCTCAGTTTCTCCCATTCCCATGAAGAAACACTCTGTACAGTTCACACACGAACTAGTCCAAACACAACTCTACTTTGAAAGCTTAAACTCTGCTAAAACACCTGCGTACCCGAGTCCTGACCTCCGCGAAATAAACCCACATCCTTACAAACTGCGTCAACAGACTTTGTCCGATGGAGGAGCGGCTTGTAGGTGCCAGTTTCAGACGGACAGGTCTCATTTCACTAATCGCTGCACTTTGTAAACAGCCACAGCTTTATGTCAGAAAGCCCAGCACGCACTGGGGGGAGAGAATGTCAATACACGGTAAAGCCCCTGTCATCGCCCACACAGTCAACTCAGGAGTTTGTCCTCTTGTGTAAAGAAATAAGAAGGTAAACTTTATTTTTGTAGCATGTCTCTAAATATTAGTTCCACAAATTAAATGAAGAATGTAGTCCGACTGATGGTGTACTTTTGAGGCCAGTATGATTTAACATATAACATTATAAATAAATAAGCAATACAATGACAACAATCCTTTACATTTGGTTATTAAAATGCTTCACGGAGTTGGAGATTTACATTTTACCTTAATTTGTAATCTTAATTTTGGTTACCATGTAGAGACCACAAGAACTCTGATTGGTCAGCTTTGTTTGCTGGTATTATCTCAAACATAACTTTCTATGAAGCTAATTTCTTGTAATAATTGGCCACCACAACTACTCAATATATCTGTGATAAGATACCATGGACACCTGTAATCTAACACCCAGCAGGGCTAAACTCCTGGAGGGCTGCCATCCTTTCAAAATAAGTCACTTCCTTGACTGTAACATTCCTAACCTGGGAGAGACATGTTTATGTAGAAACACATGCCAGACACCACTGCTACATCTGTCCGCTCATCACAACAGATTCACACACAAACACACACACACACACACCTGGTGTTTTTTCCACCACACACAGGAAGGTGGTGCTGTACTTTCCATCACTTTTTTTTCTTCTA